GGGTTCTCTCCTGAAGGATTTGTGCTTCAGGTTCTTTGGGCTTGTGGGTGTGAAGAAAGGGTGGGGGCTGCAGTGGACCTTTCAGATAAGTGTATCTGGTGGAGGGAGGCGTCTTTGGGTCTCTTTCTAATCTTGAGTTGGGCCAAAGGAGGGCTGGCATCATGGGAAAGGAACAAGTAGGTGAATAACTATTAATTTGTGCCTTGTGTAGGGTGTTACTTTCATGTTTTCTTTACCTCCTTCCCCAGTGCTCCCTCACTGGTGCAGTAGGGTAGCTGCATCGCAGTCACAGCTACAGAATTCACTGACTTTAACTTATTGGCAGCAACACTAGGTTACTCGAGATTTCTGCTATCCATTTCTGCTTAGTCTTTCCTCACACCTGACTATGTGTGCTTGTTGAGAATTGCAAGTCAGTGCATGGCTTTATTATTGGACTGGCTTTTTTTTTTCATTAAAAAAAACCAAAAAAGAAAGCTCTTCTGTGTCTGCTCTTGTTGCTGAAGAAAATTGTAGCAGAAAAGTGAGCGGGTAGAAACCCTTCTGCAAGAAATTGGATGTAGAAAGGGACCTGGTGCACCTTTGAGCTTGGTGCATGGACATGTAGCTTGGTTACCTTCAAAAGGAACATGCGGTCTAGTGGAACAGAAACTTCTAGTTTGGTGTGGAGCTATGTAAGGGGAAGCTCATAAGGGTCAGCCTGCTTTGTCTCTAGCTACCAAGCAGTAATCAGTCTTTAGTAATCTCAATTTGAGTGAATACTGAATGCTTATAATACAGCAGCAGATCAAGGTGTGATAGCCTCTGGGGTAGTGGTGGTGCTTGGTGAAATGAAGAGGCTATTCTGGTGTGAGAGCAGCTGTTTTCAAAAAGAGAAATTGGAGCTGGATGTGAGGGGAGGGGAAGTAGCACTTGCCATTGAAGCAGAGCTCTTCACAACAAATGGTAGCAATTCAGCCTTCCGAGGCTCTGCTTTTTTAATATTAACTAGGGCCTTTTAGTAATTCCCTCAATATTGATACCTGGGCTTGATCTTTCTGTGGTGGTTTGATCTAACTTGTTTGAAGAATATATTTTTAACCTTACACTAGGTAACTTGAAAGCAAGCAAGGCTAAATAATTTTGTAGCATTAATGATGTTTGGGACTCCTGGAAGGTTACACTGAGAAACTGGATTAACTAGTGTAAATCAATTTTGTGGAAAATGAGGCAGCTGTGTTTATGACCTCAGCAATTTAAAGGAGGTAGGGAGGAGTGGGAATGGGGCAAGCTCTGTTCTAGTTGCAGTTTTATCAGTATGTTGATTTTTTAAAAAAAGTGTTTATAGTAATAAAAACAAAGGCATGTAAATTCAGAAATTTAGACTGTTTCACTTGCATTGTTTTGGCCAGCCCTCAAAAAAGCTCCTGGTGCCATGAATTGCGAAAGGATTTGACAATTCAGGAGGACTTTGGAGTTACAGATTCACCACTAAAATCTAAGGAAGCTAAGGGAAAACCCAACCAAAAAATCTGTCTGTTATCAGGAGTGTGTGTGTGTATTTTGGTTGCCTTTTTTTTTTGTGGTGTGTTGTTTTTTGTTTTGGGTTTTTTTTTGTGGGTTTTTTTTTTTAGTTTTTCCCATTTTTAAGCTATTTTTATAGAACTTAGGAGTAGATGTTGTTGTTTTACATTTCTTTCATGGATTTCTGTGATTCTTTCCTCATAGAATGCCATTTCTTGGTATGTTTTACATTTGTTGGTGTCCTCCTAGTGATACTGATTGTAGCAGAATAGTATGCTGATTAATAGTGTTTGAGGAATTTATGTATCATGGACTGTTAATATTCTGTTAATGATTACCATTGATAGTATTGCTAATGATAGTAATATTTAGTTGCAATTTAAGTGATGTTTAGTACCAGTACTTGAATAGGTACTTCATGAAAGACTAGGAATACAAACGAATATATTTTAATAATTTTTAATAATTTATCTTTGACTCTTATTTGGTTAAAGCACATGAGCAGGACTCTGAAGACCTGTTTTCTGTGCCTGGGTTTGCAAAAGCCCCATATGACCTTGGTAAAAGAGAAGCCAAGTGACTTATCCCCTTTGTAAGCTGACAAAGAAATTTAGTGTTGTATTTGTAGACTTCAAAATTATTGAATGGAAGGTGCTAGAGGAAATATGTGTTATTCTGCCAGAGCATTTTGTTGAATTCATAGTTGTTTCTTTTTTTTCTAATACAATCTGCTTGTTTGTAGCCCATTATGTCCTCTTTGCTTCTCAGAGACCTAGTTTTGACTTGTACTGCTTTTTCATATAACTTTCCTAATCAGGTTATGCTTGTTAAAGTGAGTGCCAGGATGAAAGGTGAAGTAACCCCTTTATAATTGCCTCAGGTTCATAATTTACAAATAATACAGAGGGTTTTTCTGTTTTGCTCTGACGTGCAAGTCCATACGCCTTAATTTTGGCCATCCAAATTGGGAGTTTGTTGGAACTACCCATCTGCCTGGGGCTCCTGCAGGCTGTTTCAGGTGTGGTACCCTCAGCCCTTTTCTTCCCATTACTTTGCAATGCTGCAAAGAGTAAACAGTGACTAAAGACAGATTAGAGGTGATACAGTCTGATGCCTAAGATCTCATGGCTTGCTCAGCTTGCTTTTACTGTAGCATAATTATTTTGCTGAGCATATTGTTTTATTTATGTTTCCTCTAGACTAAAGCTTGTAAGATAGCTTATGTGAACAACTTTGCTCAGCTCCCTTGGACTTGTTTCTACTCTCAGTTCTCTTGAATTTTTGGGTTTTTGTTCAGCTGTCTTTGTGAAAGCTGCAGGACACTGTGGCTTCTTTTGAAGGTAAAATTGCCAAGCTTTTTCCCCCTCCCTCCCTAGCTTCTTAAATCAGTCCTCCAATAGATGAGCTTGGAGGAGTTCTTAACCTTCATGTGTGTAGCGTTTTGCATTAAAAACGATGAAATGTTTTCCAAATTGAGAGATCTTTGATCTTTCTCAAGACTTAAGGTTTGCTCAAAGTTATATTTATGTTGTAAACTTCATGGTTGGGGTGGGTTTTTTTTTGCTTTATTGTACAGGAACCACTGGTTATTATAGATCTGCAAAAGATGCAGATTCAGTGGAATTTGTGTTACAGGATCATTCACTATTTGAATCCAAAGTTAAATGGAGAAAACACAAACACTTTCTTAACCTCTAGATTTAAATTACTTGGTTGGACTTTTTTTGACCTGGTTTAATGGGGGGGGAGTCCATCTTAATCTGTTAGGCAGCCCTGTGGAGCCCTGTGGTTGAAGGTGTAAACTTTAAATTCAGTAGCCATGATCATATTCCTAAACATTTTTAATGGTTAGCTGTAGAGAGAGGAAGTTTTTCTGCAGTTTTTTTCTGTGTGGTATAGGCTTCATCTAGAACATTTCAGTTGTCTTTCTTATGACTAAAATACTGTTCATGGAAGAAGGGTGATGTTTTAGAGACCATATTGAGATTGCTTTTGAGCAAAGAAAATGAATTATTATTTGTAACTGTATTTGAGCAAAGAAAATAATTTGTTATTTTCAACTGTATTTATTAAGTGTTTTGAGGATGATGGATATAATAATATAGAATGAAGCATATGGCTTCTGAAAACCCTTTTGTTTCCTCTATTTGGTTTCAAATGTTAACTGAATTGTGGTTTTTTATCATAAAACACTTGTGCCCATTGCCTCTGGTCCTGTCACTGGGTACTGCTGAAAAAAGCCTGGCTCTGTTTTTGTACCTTCCCTTCAGGTATTTATATGCTTTGAGACACCCTCCTCAAAGCTTTCTTTTTCTCTAGGTTAAGCTACTTGACATAGTCAAGTCTGTAGTCTTTCAGACAAACTCAAGGTCATATGCTCTTACATGCCTTTGAGAAGGAGGTGGATTAATGATTGAATTTAGTGTAGGGGGTGGTGGTAACAGTAATTCTTGACTCTTGATAGGTGGAGAGGTGGGTGGGTTTGGGATGTGTGTTTAAAATGCTGTGAAAATGCAATAAGATGCATATTTCAAATCCAAATAACTTCTGTTATTGCAAATAATGAGTAATTGGCTGACTTTGCTCTAGCTGAAATGAAGGATATAATTTAGTGGTTCTGTAAGGAAAGAAACAGGTCAAACATTTAATTGTATGATAGTGATAAAATTGCCTAAGTCATGTGTATGTTCTATCTTGGAATTGTGTGGACTGTAAATGATGGTTTAATGTACATACAGCATGTAGGATAATTTAGGCTGAGGTGCAATATGATCGCTAAAGCTGATACTTGTAATATTTTAATACTTTTGCTAGAATTGAACACCATAGTTAGCAAAGCATATAGTCTAGATGCAGT